TACCATTGTGATTTTTTAAATTTTTTTTGAGATGGCATATTTTTAAAAATTAATTTTTTTTTATAAAAAAATCTGTATGTGAAAAATATATTTTTTTTTCTTTTCGTATGCTTTGCAAAACCTAAATTCCACAATTTCCGGGGCTTGCAAGTTAATTTTTGATTATCTGAAAAACTAGTATAGTGAGAAAAATGCTTCTGATAATTTTAAAGGGAATATTTAGGGCAATAAAAAATTATGTAAAAATCTAAAAATAAAAAATGTCTAGAATTTTTAAATATACAAAAATCATAAAAGCAAAAGTCTAATAAATTTGGCTCAATTTTTTATATAATACCTAAAACCATGATACAAAAAAGAAGGTAGTTTCAATAAACAATTTTTTGATTAAAAAGCAGATTTTTGACAATTGCTCAATTGTAAAAAAATCGAAGCGGCGTTACCCAATTGTAAGTTTTTTGGTGTGGGAGATTTTATATCCTAAATTTGGGATTATAAAGAAAATAGTTTTATTAATATATACCTTTTAAAAATAATCAATATCTTGTCTTAAAAACGTTTAAATTTTACATTAAATTCGATAATAACTTGCCAAATCATTATTTTAATATTAATACAATTTTAGTGAACATATTTTAAAATTTTTTTAGTGTCCTCATGTCATCTTATTATTTCAGATACGATGATTCTGATGTAATTCAGACGCTGAAATTACACATTTCGATGTGTTATTTAATACATATTTTCTTTGTCCATTTAACAGCAAATGGAATTTACTTTAGGACCCATGGGCCTAAAACTTTTCCAGCAACGCATATTGTTTTCACATGAAATTTTGACACACCCAAAATTGAAGTATAAAATAAATAGATACAAATAAATTTTCAATCAAACTGATTTGTGTAGTCCAGGGGCGTCTTTAGTAAATTTTTGGAGGCTGTTTTAATATATCCTATCTTATTATATATTTCTTAGCTTTTCTACATTCTGAGAAGTTGAGAGAATGAAGTCTAATATTCTTTTTGGGTCAACTATGACGTTTGATTTCATTTCTTGCAATCATTAGTTCATTTCGCTTGAGGAGTCGCAATGCTCATACCGGCTGTACCGATTTTTTGGAAATTTCGGACACAAATTTTCCAAGAATGGTTATAGGCTAAAACAAACCCGATATCTAAAGGGCGTGTGGGACCTCCCATACAAATCGAATTTTTCATAGTGCATATCTCTGGAATTATTTGTGGTAGAGTCCTGGAACTTTGTATGGATATATGTATGGATTTATTGGAAAATGAGGCGTGCCACCGTAGAACTTGGAATAGAGGTAAATGAAATCAATCCCAAACCTATGAAAAATGGGGGTATATGAAAACGATCTCGAAGCCATTGAAAGCTAGCGGTATAAACCAAATAAACTAAAATTCTTGTGACGCATAGATACCTCTGGAAGCATTTATTTTTCCAACGGAAATATGTACAGGAAAACGGGCGCGACACCTTCTGGAAAGTAACATGATCACAGGGTGTATCCCGAGAACCATTTTAAGCTAAACCTTCAGGGATTACATTCTCGCCAAGACCCATAAGCATAAGCTGAAATTGCGTCGCAAGTTTTATGATCGGCTTAGGTAAGGTTTAACCACTTAACCCCCCTTTGTTTTCGTCGCTACTGAATTCTATAAACTGTCAGCTTTCACACAATTTAAAATGTACATGTGTATTTAAAAATGTCATGAAAATTGTGTTGCTAGCTTAATGTTGCAAAAATGTTTCAAGGAAATGTTGTGGAATTTAACACTTATTTCTTGTTTATTTCTTATTATGCTATGCTTAAGAACAAAATATTTTTAAATCGACAAAAAATTAATAAGAAAATTTGAAGGATTTTAGATATTGGGTATGGTAGCACGAAATGTCACAATCTGCTTAATTGTCAGGTTGTTAATATGGCGACGAAAAAGAGACAATGGAACTACCTTCTTTTTTGTATCATGCCTAAAACCTTGATAAAAACATAGCAAGATAGAACCGTTCTCTCAATTTGTCGGCCATGATTTTTTTTTGAAGTTTGCCAACATTTTAAAATCATATAAAAGTGAAAAGAAATAAATGAAATTGTTCGAAATTGTTGTTGCTTGAGATTGAAAATGAAAATGTGTGTGTGAGTTTGTGAGTAAATTTAAAAATTAAATTGTTTGGAAACGTCAAGAATTTTAAAAGTGACTCTCAGCGGTTCTACCTTACTATATTTTTATCATGCCTAAAACGATACAATACCATTAAAAAAAATAAAAAATGTCTAGAATTTGTAAACAAAAAATAAGTAAAAGCAAAAGTTAAGTAAATTTGACAAAATTTTTTATACAATACCTGCCACCGATCTTAGAAGAAGATTTTCAAGAAAGTGTTGCTTTTTTAAAGAAACTAATTTTTTCCTATATTTTAAATAAAGTAATTTTAAACAATATCGAGCCCTAACCGCCAAAATAACGTAAGCGACATTTTTTTCAAAATTTTCTTTTTGATGCAGAAATGCATCTAGATGCTCTAGGAATATTTCTGCATCAAAAAGAAAATTTTGAAAAAAGTGCCGCCTACGTTATTTTGGCGGTTAGGGCTCGATATCTTTTAACCTAAAATTTATTTTTAATTTAGAGTTTGCAATTTTTTTCATAGTTAAAAAATTCACATCTTTAACAAAACACCTTAGAAATTATATTACCTCTTAACATCAGTTTGGGGTATTTTGTACTAAGTTTAGCCAACTCCTTGCTTTTGCGAGTTTTTAAATTGTAATATGCATTTTATAAATGTAGATCTTTTTGTAACTATCTTAGTTTTTGAGATATTTAAATATGCAAAAAGTAAAATTAGAACACCAGGAAAATTGTGGATAAAGAAGGAACAGCAGCCATGCTAACAGTTTATGCAGATGGCGTTTTAGTTATCATAAGTGGCAAATGCCTAATGAATTTTAGCTCACTGGCGAACCAGCTGAAAGCTATTATGGAGCGTTAACGCTAAAGAAGACTGATTTACTATTATTCAATGGAAAATACAAGATCTCTGCTTGGAATGAGCCCAAATTGGGAGATACCACTTTTCAACCAAAGCCAAACACGAAGTACCTTGGAATCGTAGTGGACTGCAAACTGTCGTGGAAATTTTTATGTGAAGAAGCGAATGAGGAAGTCTTCACCAGCACTGTATACATGAACCTAAGAAGATGTGGGGCTGCACTTGGGGGCTTTCACCTGCCATTTCACATTGAATATTCACAGCTATCATTAAGCCAATACTAATCTATGCAGCCGACCTGGTAGCCAAGAATATAGCATTTACAACTGCAAAAAGCAAGCGGCAACCAGGGTCAGAATTTACGATCATAGTTGTATAGTGTCATGCTTAACGTAATCCCGCTTCTGAGCTTCGTAAGGTCTCTGGAAGCTAGAATAGATGTTGTTAAGAGTTCTGTACCTCTTGCATTCAGTCGAGGTATTCTCCAAATATCGTTGTCTTTTGAGGTCAATCCTCTCGGCTTGGTGTTGTGAAACAGGCCGCTATTACTTACTAGGCACTTTTGACGAGCGGCGAGAGTCGCCTTGCCAATTCTAACTTGGTTCTCTGCTCCACCGTCAGCTCATTATCAGGAATTAAGACAGGAATTAAGCAATGTGAAAGAGATGAAGAATTTCGGGCCCTCTTCCTTAGACTGTTTTTGAGGCATGCCCGGGTCGGGCCTGGGGAGACGGGCCACCTGCGTACCTTTCACCGGTTTAGAACTTCTCTCGAAGGGTTTGCTCTTACCGGTGTATTCAGAGGAAGACTTACCCACAGCGAGTCCAGACCTACCCTCCGAACGTGTAGCTGACCTAAGAAGATTTGTGTTGTGTCGTTTAGACCCTTTCGGTGCAGTCAAAGCAATTACCAGGACTGTGAACTTGGTTTTATTGCCACGCCCGACGGCAGCGCTTATGCCCGTACAGGGACCCGAGGCTCTGTTTGCATTATCTATTACACAGTTTTTTGGTTGATCACCTGCTCAGATGAGACCTTTCGGTGATCGGAAGAAAAGGAAGGGGAAACAGCGAACGGCAAAGCAAGGCCACCTTTACTCCCGGTGACGAATAGGTATTCGGGAGGCTTTGTTGGATAACGATTTTGGTTATTTATTTAAAAATATGTATAAAATATGGGGAAACGTTCCTATAAGGTCGGTCCTTAAAGGGGGGCGGTGGTCAAAGAGGGAGTGGGCGTGGCTCTTCGAACCACCTTTTTGGAGAGGCCATGAACCGTCATTAACAAAAATGCCACACCTGTAGCTCGTTTCTGTAACAATTCTCTACCAAGGCGAATTGAGATATGAATTCGCCGCCCTGTTCTCTACTGCTAATTAGTAGGTGAGAGTGACGTATTTTCTCTACCAGTGGAGAAATAATCGGTAGAGAAAAGTTACAGAAACGGGCTACTGACCACCTTTCTGTGTTTCTTGTGCTAATGAATATTCAGCCTTTTTTAAGCGAAAAAAGCGCAAGTGAAAATTGTGATTTTTGGCAATGTTTCTAAGGGATCCCTAGGGACCTATGGGGGCCTAGGTGGTATGTATGTATGTATGCATTTCCATTTACTATGCGCTTCAGATAAAGCTTCTATGGACATATGCGATCATGATTCATGAACATCATTATTTCATAATTGTATCAAGGATATAAATACAGACATATATATATACCAAATAATATGATTGATTCATGCGAAAATATAAACAAAGAGTTATACGAAAGATTTGATATAAACAAAGAAAGCAATGGACGAGTATGTAAAAGGTGGAAAAAATCAAGACACAAGATGTAAAAACACAAATTGCTTTTTTAGTTTTAGTTTTTTTCCTTCAGCGCTGTTTTACATCTGTATCTGGGGCCGTAAATATAGTTTTTGTTTGGAATCTTTGCATTCACGTTAGTAAGTGTAATTCCAAACTTGCCTGAACTGAAAACCTTGTAGACGGCCAAATGGACGCAAATAAAAAGAAACGCAAAAAGTGTACATTTTTCTTTCTTCTAAATGTTGTAAGTTTGTTTTAAAACGTAATCGCATAAATAATCTTCATATATGTATGTATCGGTTTGCACCTCTTCGCGCTCGTCATTCAAGCTTCTGGAGGCTAGCGCCATAACCGCAGTTATTTATTGCACACTCTTCTCCAATTGTGTGCTGGGCAATGAAGTCAGCGGTCCTGTATTCATATTCCTTTTATTCATATTTTCTGCCTTCATACCGGATTTGCTTTATCTCACACTTTCGCGTAAGCTGCACACTTTGGGCACTGATCCGCTGGTACGGTGACTATGTGTGTGTGTGTGATTGATATACCGAACATTTGCGCTAAAATGCATTTCCGCCCATCTCTTTGTTTTTCAACCAACAGGGTGTCATGTTTAATTTCATAGCTGGTGGCTTATGCATTCTTATCGGGGTAGGCCTTATGCTGGTATTACTCGTTTTCTGCGGCTATTATGCACAATTCATATTGGTGATAGCTGGTGCGTTCACCGTTTGCTCTGGTGTTTTTCATTTGATAAATGCACTTATGTGCAACCAACGATTACCAAAATCGGAGAGGTGAGTATACAGAGTGGAAGCCCTTCTTACTTCCAGCTGGCTGCTACTCATGTACATATGTATGTGTTTGCGCCCCTATCAGGTACTTTAAGCATCGACATCGACGTAAAGGCGCGAAAAAAGCGAGTGGCCCTAAGAAAAAGGTCAAAGAAGTAGAGGAGTCTCAGTTGGCCAGCACAAGGAGTGGACAAAAAGATGCAAAGAAAGCGGACAAAAAAGCTGTTAAAAAAGATGATGGCAAGCTTGAGAGCAGCGATGTTAAAAAGCACGATAAACGGAGTGACAAAAAGCGCCAAGAAACGGCTTCCAGTAACGAAATACCAAAATCTTTACGCATACTTTCGGTTATACTTTACCTCACTTGCGGCGTAAGTTTTTTAAAGTTTTTTTTTTTTTAAATTCTGCCAGACTCAGAAACTCGTTTCTTTCCCAGGCGATCGAGTTAACTGGATTCCTATTACTCTTCTTTTATACATTTTCGCTCTGCGTTTTGGGGCGTGAGAATTCTACACGCATTTGGTTGTCAATGAATTGCATTGCTCCACCAATCACAGCTGACTTGGTTTTCGCGATTGGTGGCTTCAAGAGTGCGGCACACTTTTATGCATCCATTGTAAGCTAACGCCGATTTATGCGTCCTTAATTTTAAATTTTCATCAATTTCATCAATTTCTCAATCTCATCTAGGCTGTTGTCTATAATATTGTCATGGCAACTCTATGCATTTTATCAGCTATATTTGCATTTGCTTCAATCACGGGCTGTGGAAATCCTGCGCAGTTATTAACCATTATTGCTGGTCTAATGGGACTTAGTGCTGGCGGTTTGCATATTTTTCTCACAATTATTGGGTTAAAACACCTTGAAGGCGGTGGAAAACTTTTTAAAAATAGGCAATCTAAATAGATATGAGTCTATACGAGTGATTTAAGTAAATACGGACAGTTGAGAATCCAAGCAAAAAAAGTCTTTTTACAGCGTTTAGCAGAGGTGGGTTCATATTGAGTCAAAAATCTCTGAACGGGTGGGTCTCCAAATGGTGGGAGTTTCAAGTGCAGCGATGAGTTTTTGGGGAGGCTATGGAACCTCAGTTGGCTGCCGACTATGAATAAGAAGGGCAACAAACTGGTGTAGGACTTGGAAATCTTTATGAATGACTCGCCTCCAAATGGTACGAGAAGTTTGAAATGAGTGGCTCGATCCCAACCAACATCCATTGGAGCGTTGAATATGATGTTAAACATACTGCCCATAAATATTATGGCGAAGCAAACTGCAGCCCGCGCAGCCGTCAGAGCGCGGAACCTATCCAGCTGGAAAGCAAATCAATGCGGTCATAGCTTAATTCTAGAAGGGCCTAGTCTGCCGGAAATAACGGATTATTGCGTGCAGGCAACGACCTTTGACAGGGGGTATAAGGTAACAATCCGTAGCAGGGAACAATGAAACCAAGGCGTTCCGGGACCAGCGGATTCTATTCAGTTCTACACTGACGGATCCAAACTGGATAACAGAATCGGAGGTGGAGTGTACTCGGAACAACTAGGAGTACAGAAGTCATTCCGCCTTTCGGGCCACTCTAGAGCATTTAAAGCCGAGATCGCGGCCATAGAGGAGACTACCGAGTGTTTAAGGACATGAATAGTAGGGCGCAATGACAGCCAAGTGGCTTTAAACGTTCTGGATTCTGTCACATGCAACTCGGAAACAGTAGTGAGCTGCCGCAGATCACTCAACGTGATGGCAGAGAGATCCCGTTTGGTACCACAACGGGTCCAATGATGGATCTAAGTGTGCCGGTGTGTCCACCAGCAGCCACTGCAACCTAAACTAACCTAACAATGCCATGGTGGCCGATATTTTCGTTTGAATACGCTTATGCTCTGCACTTCACAGATGCGTTTTCATAATTCGGAGATACAAAATTTAAATTTGTATCATCATTTTATTATATTCGGACATTCTGAAAGTCAGAAATTAACAGCAAGCATCTCGGCATACTCAGCCACAGCCATTCTGTAAAATATTAAATAATGTAATTAAGAAAAAACAGATTACATGCCGCCTATGACGACATTCGAAACCCGAATCTGCTGGAAGCTAAACAAATCAAAGCAAGCATATCTGCACGTTTAGCTACAGCCAGACATACAAATGTGTTTTGAAATGTTTAACTTGAATGGCATTTCTTACATTCGGTGTATTTACCATGAAAAAAATCAAACAATAACTTGGTTGTAAAAATCATTGTACTTTTGGCTCCGTGTAGTTGGCACGCTTAGAGAATTTAAAAGAAAAATTACCGAAATTTACTTTGCGACAACTAAGCAAAGACTTCTTAACAAATACCTATTTACGTTACCTTAAGCTGCCTTTACACGGACCGATGTAAATAGCAATACAACCGATTTTTGTCGACTGGAAAATCGCTGATAAATCGACTAGCCAAAACATTTCAATTTTACGGTTGAATTGCTATTTGCACGGGTCGATTTTAGTTGAACGACAAAAATCGACAGGAATATCGACCCGTGTAAACGCAGCTTAAGAATTTCGGCTGGTCGCTTTCGCCGTCGACAGAAAGCGACCCGTATAAATACAGCTTTAGTTAAAATTTGTAACAATTGCCAACAATTAAGAAAATAAATAAATAATTAACCCCATGAAAGCATTATTCAAAGCGAAGTATTTATTCACCGTAACCTGGTAGTTACATATGTCAAGTGAAAAAAAATTAAGAAATACAAAAAAAAAATATCCCGACGAGTTGATAACCTTTCACCTTTTTGTGAAGTCGGTTAAAAAGAATTGTAAAATTTAAACAAATAAAACACCGCATGTCAACATCAAAAATAAAAGTGTTTTATGAAGTGACAAAATGAATTATTGTTGAAAAATTTCATACCAACAGATTACCGCTAGTACAAAAGCCGAAAGTCCTGTAGCACATACGACGACCGCACGGTCAGATGGATCAAAACAGAAAGAAACGCAAAAAGTGTAAATTTTACTTCCTACTAAATGTTGTAAGTTGAAGTTAAAATATATTTATGTATACAAAGAAATTTCTGCATAAAATTTCGGTACATGTTTCTCTTTTTTTTCGTTTAAGCTGCTGGAGGCTAGCGCCATTGGCGGTGTTGTGTATTGTACACTTTTCTCCCATTGCGTGTTGGGCAATGAAGTCAGCGGTCCAGTGTTTATATTCCTTTTGTTCATATTTTCTGCATTCATACCCGATTTGTTTTACCTTTTCCTTTGGCGTAAGCTACATACTTTGGGCATTGATCCGCTGGTATGTATGTGTGTGTGTGTAATTTTCCATATTAAGCACGCGTGTGCGATTAATATTCTTAGCACCGACATTAAAAGGCCTCAACTTTACTCCTTTTCTTTTGCCAACAGGGTTGCATGTTCAATTATTTTATGGGCGTTTTATGTATTTTAGTTGGTATAGGTCTTATATTGGTAATGCTACTCTTCTGTGGACACTATACACAATTCATATTGGTTGCAGCTGGTGCTTTCAGTGTTTGCTCTGGTGTATTTCATTTGATGAGTGCATTTATGTGCCATAAAATGTTGCCCAAATCTGAGAGGTAAGTCACAAAAAAAAATTAGATATAATCACATTCATATGCTTACTATATTCATTAAAGAACGATCGAACATTATTTGTTTGAGGCCGAAGTCCACTCAAATGAAACTACGACAAATAATTTCAATATTCGGCTGACACCGAACTTAATCGATAACTTAAGGGTACGAAAAGTCAGTCACCACAGTTTTTTGTAAGTTCAGAGAACGGGTCTAGCCGACGCTGTAGTACTTTGAACAAATTGAAATGTTCCCGGGCAGCGCGCTTTGGTGTGTTAAGGTTACCATTCTGGAAAGAGGTGCGACCTAAGGTCTATTGTGTCTTCAGAGCTCATCATAAGTTATGATTCATAACTTATTGTCCAGCCCTATTACTCTGATGAATCCAAGCAGTTGCAAGAGCGGTAGAGAGGGAATATGCCGTAGCCTCCACCCCAGATGTGGTATCCTTCATCTCGCAACCGCATTGCATTCTATGAGGAGATGCACTATCGTGGTACTGACACAAGTCGTCTGCACTAGTCCTCATTGTATACATATGGGGCCGCAGTCTGTAGTGACCAGTTAGAGTCCCTGCTATAAATTTCAAGTTAGTCTTTTGAAGGGTGATTAGTTGCTTGGCTCTTTTTTTTGGGGTTATTGATTCCAAGAAGTTCTTTCGCCTGCCTTAGTCCAGACTCTTCTGCTCTTAACCTGCCTGCCCTGTGGTGTGAGGTGCAGCGCAAGGAACGGTCTGTCGCAAGTCTGTCAGCCTCCTCGTTTTCCTGTATGCCTTTGTGACCCGGAACCCACACTAGTTGCAGTGTATTGTTCTCCCCCAGGGTGTCTCAGTCTTGCTACACATTCCCATACCATCCGTGATATAATCTCACATAAGGATATTACTTTTAATGCAGCCTGATTATCGATGCGGATGACAATGTGCTGCCTTCTTGATTACTCTGCTGAATTATTTCCATGCAAGAACTGATGGCGTAAACGTCCGCTGGAAATATACTAGAGTTGTTCCCCAGTGAAATAGAGATTTTGGCCTTAGGGCCGAAAATTCCCATCCATATCCCTTTGCCAATGTTTAGGTTATGTTTGGGTGTGGGCCCTGAAGGTGTTACCTAAGATTGTTTCATTGCAGGTCGCTTTTTTGCACAGTTTGGTTCTGAATTTTGTCCGAAAGGTTGTCATCGTAACCATGCCATCTCTATTGGGGCGGGAGATGGGTATCCTGGATCTTATTTACTTTCTCTACTGCTCGAAATAACTTTTCCCTTTCCAGTGCCCTTCCTCATAAAGTTGAGGAGGGCTTTATGGGCAGTCTGTTCTATGTATATGTGTAGGGGTGGAATAACCGCCAGGCCATCGATGGGGCAAGTGTGCATGGCTCCCGTTATGTAATGCAGGTGCACGGCAAAGTTGATTTTGAGACCCACCGTGCCACACCATATTTAGTTAGGATAAATGGCCTTTCTTGCTCCATAGCAGAGGGGACAGTACACCACCTGAGGGCATTATTTTATTGTCCTCAGCTGTATGATTTTACTGCCTACAGGCGTCTCTGCCAGTTTGGTTCGTAGCAGTCGGAACAATCCGACCAACCTTCGATTCGGGGCGTCTACGTTTCTCGTCTCTAGGGCTCGATCTACTGCCCCGTGTGATGTGTTATCAAAGGCTCCTTCAGTGTCAAAGAATGCGCATAATATTAATCTCAAACTTAATCTTAGCCTAGTCCTAATCATAATCGTAACTTTAATCTCAACCTCACGGCCATTTTTTTTTGGCAGAGGCCGATCCGAAACCAAACCGAACTTTGTTCAATATAGCCGAAATCGAAGCTAACGTTCGGTCGTTCTATAATAATTAACATATTACCATATAAAGGGTGGTCCATATTGTGTTTGAGATAGAGCAGGAAAAAAATAGATTTTTGTTAATTTTGTTTAAATGAAATCATTATATGGACCACCCTGTGCTATTGCTTTCATAAATTAGCTCGTTAATTGGAAAAACTTTATAATTCAAATTAAGGTTTGAAGCAAGGCACATTAAACAGGTAGTATCAGTAGAGCAAAAACAACATTTGCGTGTATTTTATTGTTGCTTCTGGTATCGAAAGTGTCAACAACTGTTCTGAATTTTTTCTTCTAAATCAAAGCGTGCCATGTGAAATACAAAAAATTATAAAAAATAAAAAATTGAAATTGGAAAAAATAAAAATTGATGCAACTTTCTTTCCTAGTAAATTTGTTTGCTTCTCGAAGCATTGATCCATCCTTTGCAAGGCCCAGTAATCAGCGGTCGTGCTGCCGAGTTCGGCGAACGTTCCAAAAGCTGCTATTCAATCGCTTGTTTTGTATGGAAAAGGGTTTCACAAGCAAATGGATTTTAACAACTTATAATTTTCGTGAGAAAAAATTAAAAATATTTGACATTTTCGAGACCAAATAATTTGAAAATAAATCAAATCAGCTGCTCTACTGATACTACCTGTTCAATGTACCTTGGGTTTGAAGATATTTACGCAGCGTTTTTTTCCTCTGGAATAGATTTTTCGATTATTACTGTCTTTTTTTATTTTCATCCAAAAAGAAAAACCTGATTAAAAAGTTTCAGGCCATTTTTCTAAAACTTTTGATATGATTAAAATTTGAGGTTTTTCCAGCAAATGACCGATTTTAAC